AATGGAGCACTGGGTGTTATACGCAAACAATGAATCATGGAACACTACATCAAAAACTAATGATGTAATGTATGGTGATTAACATAACATAATAAAATTTAAAAAAAAGAAAAAAACAACAAAGTTGAAGAACTAATATTACTTGATTTCAAGACTTATTATAAAGCAATAGTCACCAAAACAATGTAATATTGGCATAAAGTAATCAATGGAACAAACCAGAGAGCCCAGAAATAAAGCCACACAAATACAGTAAACCAATTTGGGACAAAGTGCAAAGGCAATTCAATGGAGAACAAATAGTCTTTTCAACAAACGGTGCTAGAACAACTGGATATCCACCTGCAAAAAAATATGAACTTTGATCCATATCTTGCAAAAATGGACCCTAAATGTAAAATCTAAAAAAATAAAACTTACAGAAGGAAACAGCAGAAAAATCTTTGTGACCTTGGATTAGGCAAAGATTCCTTAGAGGCCAAAAGCCTGATCCATTAAAGAAAAATTGACAAATTGGACTTCATCAAAATGAAAACTTTCTACTCTTCAAAATACACTCTTAGGAGACTGAAAAGACAAGTCAGAGTGTGGGAGAGAATTTTAAAAACAGAATATATAAAGAGCTCTCAAAACTCCCTAACAGGGGTGCCTGGGTGGCGTAGTCGGTTAAGCGTCCGACTCTTGGCTTCAGCTCAGGTCATGAGCTCAAGGTCGTCGGGCTCTGTGCGGAGTCGGCTTGAGATTCTCTCTCCCTCTCCCTCTGTCCCTCTTGCTCAATTGCTCAACTGTGCGCTCTCTCTCTCTAAAATAAATAAATAAAGCTTTAAAAAAAAAACAAACCTGTATTTAAAACAAAACAAAACAAAAAAACCCTCCATAACAAGAAAACTACCTAATTTTTAAAGTGAACAAAAGGTGTTAACATATTTCACCGAAGAAGATACCCAGTGGTTTCCTAGCAAGGAGGGCAGAGGAGGGAGGAAGGGAGGCATGAGGAAGGGAAACCTAGATGGTGGACGGATACACCCATTGTCTTGGCTGTGGTGGGGGTTTCACGGTGTATGGGTTCACCCAGTGTTACCATCTTCTGTACTGTAAACCTGTGCAGTTCCTGTCTGTCAATTTTACTTCACACCTAAAATACTTACCTGGAGCAATGGAGTAATACTGTAGGTACAACAGGAGTCAAGGTCAGGAAGAGCTGAATAAGGCCAGAGGACTGCGAGGGAGCATCAAGGGGAGATTTTCTCTGTGCTTGGTGGAGTTGGGGAACACAGGAAGGAAGGGCAAAGAAAACAGATGGAGCGAAGGGAGAGCGATGATCATGCCCGACCAGCGCTGTGCGGTGAAGAATCGCAGGGAGCCGAGCTGAGCCAGATATTGTAACGAACCGCACATGCAGTTACAAGGGGAGGGGGCCCCGGTCAGGGCTCCAACACCAACCACAAATCTGCTCCTCACATACGTGGCTGAAGAAGTGGTGGGACAGCTGGCAACAGAGCACGCGTGCTTGGTAAGTGTACGACGAAGGAAGGAGCACACAGATTAAATGGATGGGAGGGGAAAAGGGCAGGAAAGAGTATATGATTTTCCCTGTTTCTCGACTACAACAAATGGAGTGCTCACAGAAGAATGGGCTCTCCACTGCACTAAAGCAGGCCCATGGACTCCGAGGCACTCACTCTGTTGAATATGACCTCCAAACAGTTACTAAACTGGTCATTAAGAGATAAGACCACAAAGAGACCCGAAGTCATACATGTGATAAAGCAGTCTGAGGCAAAGAATCTGGAAGGACACAAAGCACGAAGAGCAACAGAAAAGAGCAGGCCAGCCACAGCCACGGTGCCAGGCACTCATATACATCACCAGGCTGGACCTCCGTGAAGCAGGTTGGTGGCATTACCCCATTCTAAAAATGGTACCACAAAGGTCAGAGGTCCGGTCATTTTCCCAGGGCCACCTGCCCAGGCAAAGGCAGAGCCAGGAAGCACACTAAAGGCCTATCAGATGCCAATACTCGGCCCTTCTCACTCCATCCTGCTGCCTCTCGGAGGTAACAGGGCAAATGAATAGAAAACGTCCACCCCAACATTAGCCTTCACCCAGCTATAGTTTATAAGGAAAACAGACAAGTATTACTTCTACAGAAATCATTGAAGGTAACAACTTTCAACCGTAAGAGTTCCTTCAGTGATGAATAAAATACATTCCATTATAAAACAATGAAGTTCGTAGAGAGAATCTTAATTTCCCTGCAATCTAGAAATCTATTTATTTATTTATTTTTATTTTTTTTTTTTAAAGATTTTATTTATTTATTTGAGAG